AGAGACTGGATGGAGCAGCCATGAGAAGGACTTGGGGTGTTGAGTGATGAGAAGCTCCCCATGACCCAGCAGTGTGTGCTTGGAGCCCAGTAACCACCCATGGCCTGGGCTGCATCCCCAGAGCAGGACCAGCAGGTCAAGGGAGGGCATTTCTATTCAAGAGTTCATATTCACTTGTGTATACAAGAGCTCTGGCTTGGGCATTTTGAAATCCTTCCATCTTCTGCAAGCTAAACCGATGACTTCCAACATGACTTATCATCATCCAATGTGGATTACAACAAAAGATACAATACTAGACTCCAGGACTTTGAAGCTGCATTAAAAATTGCTCTTCTGGTTACTGCTGCTTAGAGGAGAGCCTGGGAGAGGAAGGCAAAAGTATCTGGGTTTATAAGATCTGTCAAGGTTCTATAAGAAATCAAATCCTGCATCTACCATACTGACAACAGCCAAACCAACGCAGTTCACAGGCTTGACTCAAGAAGTATTGAAAGCCTCAGGAACAGTTTAATAATCGGAAACTGGTTTAGTGGCCAAGTGAAGGAGGTTAATCGTTGACTTCATTAAACTACTCATTGAGGAATGTGATACCGAATGCAGCAAAGTACAGAAAAATGCCAGGAAAAGGCTCTTCAGACTAATGGAAAGTGTTGCTGGAATGAGAACTGTGAGGAGACAGAGACGCAGACAGATACACAGCTTGAATCACAAGCAGAAAATGACTGACAAGTGGAGGAAATGGCAGCTTCAGTGGGAACAGCAAAATAAGAGCTCTGGATGCAGACAGAAGGTAACATTGGCTGTGTAAGAGGAGCAGGAAAACAGCCAGAGGCTGTGAAGGAGAAAATACCAAGAGCAGCAAAACTGAGTGAAATGGGAGACTTGGGCAATAGCTGAAATATGAAATATCACCCTGTCTGAACACTCAAACCCCTGTTAAAAGAAACAGGACTTTAGTTTCCTTAACCCAAACTCACCCAAGTACAGTCTGCATTTCACAGATGGATAATTAACAAAACCTCATGTGCCAGGACAGACACAAGCTTTCTTCCAAAGTAAAACCCAGGAGTTCCGAGTTTGGAATAAGCTTTATTCACAGGTCAGAATGGTCTCCTCAAAGAAACTGAACTCCCAACACTGACTTGCTTTTGGCAAGGGGAGATTTGGGAAAAGCAGCAACATTCTGACACCAATAAGTTTGGTGAATGCTTAGTTTAAAGCTCATTTGATAATTCAACTTCATGTCTATGGTATGGTATTTAATAAAGACGATAAAGCTGACCACAGCTCAGAGCTGCAGGAGCTGTCAGGGAGTGTTTAAGGAGGAAGCTGCACTCCCCAGCACGCTGTCCCGGGGTGATGGACGTGCCAGCCTGCTGGCTCTCACCGGATGCATCCGGCTCACACAAAGGACACCGAGGTCTGTTTGTTGGTGCCCTCAGATGTTCTCTCTCCTGACAAGAGCACTTTGTGTTATCAGGCGGCATTTCAAGTTCTTGTCTTTCAAGTGGGGCAGAAGAATGATGTTCCACCGGCCTGAGCCACTCCTCGGATCACAGGAGGTAACAAAGCTACTAAGGTCTTAACCCCCTTTGATTAAATCTGGGGTTGAAGATCAGCCTTGGAGGCACAATTCAATGTTATCTTTGCTCTCTGCCTAAGTTATTCCCTCTCCTGCAGACCTGATGGCCAGCAGCTGGGTGTCAGCTTATTCCCAGAGACCAAAGGAAAAGCAGGTGGATGGAAGCGGCAGTAGTGCACAAGATGAACTTGGAGCCATTTTGTATGTCCAGCTTCGATGCAAAAGGATTAGTACACATGTCCTATAACTCAAACACATATAGAAATGCATTAATGATTTACCACAACAGGCCTTCATCCCAATGAGGGTGCTGAGGCGCTGGCACAGGGTGCCCAGAGAAGCTGTGGCTGCCCCATCCCTGGCAGTGTTCAAGGCCAGGTTGGACACAGGGGCTTGGAGCAAGCTGCTCCAGTGGAAGGGGTCCCTGCCCATGGCAGGGGTTGGAGCTGGATGAGCTTTAAGGTCTCAAACCAGTTTGGGATCCTGTGTTATCCTTTTAACCGCATAACTTTCCAGAAGGTGGATGAAGATGTGGCATGGATCCTCTATGAACTCCTATCTAGACTCAACGCCTGTCTAACAGTGCAAATTAACCCCTGTAATTACATCACTAGAACCAACCACGCGAATAAACTTCCCGGGAAAAGACAAGTCCTTAAAAAGCAAACAAAGGGAAAGTGGAAGAACCAAAATTGCTTTGGAGCTCTGAGCCGCTCGGTTCTGCAGGCGTTTCCTTGTGCCCGTACTTGCGGCTGCGATACCCGGTTCACAGGTACCACTCGGCTTCAGCAGCCATGTTCTAGGCATGATGCACCAGAAATTCCACTATTAGAAACATCAATTTTAGGCATTTAGAAGAAGTTAAATCAAAAGAGTAAAAGCGACAAAACACGAATGCGAAGGGAAAAGCAAAGAACCAAGGAAGGAATCGCTGTTCGCAAAGGAAACACGTTCGGCGCTACCGGAATCACTCTTCCGCGCCTCCTTCCCCGGTGTGAGGCCGCACGCACCCCGCCAGCCTTATCTAAACGAAATATGAAGTAAATAACGAAGCTAAACCGACGCTGAACCGCATGGGCCGAGCCGAGGCCCGCCCGGCCGCACACCGCACCCGGTTCCCCGTACCCCGGGCAGCACGGCCGAGGAGAAGGAGAAGGAGAAGGAAGAGGACCCCGACCCACCCGGCCCCGCCAGCCCCCAGAGCCACCCCGCTCCGTGTCTCACCGGAGCCGCAGCGGGGTTGGCGGCCGCGGTGCCCTCCGCTCCGCTCCGGTCCCGGCGGCGCTCAGCGGGGCTGCGGTGCGGGCGGGCTCTGCACCATCCCCCTGCCCTGACGGGCGCTGCGGGGAGGCCGCTGCCGGCGCCGCTCCCGGACCCCCGCCTCCTCCGCCCGCTGCTTCCGGGGACGGGGCGGGAGGGGGGGGGGAGACGGACGGGACGCGGCCGTTACCTCTCACCCCGCGCGGATGGCGGCGCGGAAGGGACAAAACTGCGAGGGCGGAGCCGGCGGCGGGCGCGGAACAGCCCCGAGGGCGGAGCAATGAGAACGGGAACTAAAGGGTTAACGTTGTGCCGGCTTGCTCGAGCAGCCGCTGTGCTCGGTGGAGCAGAACCGTAGGAGTCAAAGTTGCTGGAATGGTGAAGCGGAATTGTAGTAGATAAGATTCATAGCTTAACATTGAAGGCATTCTTGTTCAAATAGTATCCATAGAAAGGAAAGGAACAAAAGATAGCCAGAGTAACAAAATTTGCAAACTTGACAAGTTTCTGCTTTAAGATTCGTAAAACCGGCTTGCACCGAACCTGAGGTTTGGAGAGGAGCCGAAACCCCACTGAGTCTGCGTGAAGGCAAGAGGTTACTCGCGGTGATGAAGAGGAACTCCAGGCCTTCATCCTCACGGCCCCCTATCAACCACCACCAGGAGGCACTGCACAGGCGCACCAATGGGATGAATGCCAGAAAACTATAATACTAGACCGGAATAGGTTTTGCATATGTATTAGGCGTGAGGCAATCTCATGTTTAGGCAATCGTTATATGTAACATAACCGAACTGAGTGGCAAAGGAAAGGTGTGCATGCTTTTGGAGGAGCAATCCCCATGTGCCTCAGCGCTGAATAAAAGCATACCCACTTTACAACTCTTAATGAGTTGTGGAGTCTATCTGCGTATCACCAAGGGCTGGGGACGGGCTCGAAAGCAGAGCTTGGGGGCTGTGAGATGCCCAGCACCTGCTCCTGCATCCCTTAGGGCCACCTCCTCCCTCCATTCCCCCTTCTTACCACTAAAAACTATCCAAAACTTTGTGTTTTTACCTTAAAAACCAGATGGAATTTGTTAGGGGAGGTGTGAAGCACTCAAAGCATGGTTAATGGTGGTGGAGCGATAGCAGCAGGGACAGTGGCTATGGGATATGCTCCAAGGAAAGGTAATGGCATTCCCAGCCCACCACCATCCCCAGTTGTAGCCATTTACACCACTGTTACCACTAGAGCAAGGGCAGCTGCAATTCAGAGCCAGGGTCCCCTCTCTGCAACCCACAGCAGTTCAACACACTGAAAAAGCAGCATCCCTAAGCATTTGCAATAGTTGTGGTACCTTGGAAGCAGTAGTTACATGAAGATAGAAAGGTGAAGAATGGGTTCATCTTCAAAGACAGCCACTAACTTAAGCACTCAGTGCTTGGAAGGCAGAAGCAGCATTCCCAACGCACAATGTGGCAAGCCTCAAGACACTTAAACAACAAATCATACCCCAAAGCCCTTGAACAGTTTAATGAACCAGTCCTCCCTTTAAAATATATTTACTACAGCAAAGTGAAAAAGGAGTTCACATGCAAAGTAGCTTACAATGTAAGTTCTGATTCCCAGTAATGAGCTGCACAAGCTTTCAGTAATACTGAACTAGTAGTGGGCTGTTGAAAACAAGTGATTTTTGATGCTGGGGCTGTCCCCAGAGCGCAGCAGCCTGTATTCCAATTCACTAAGGTAGCATTTCAGTTAAACTCTCTGGGTTACAAGTAACTTGTTCATAGATACTATTCCATAACTTTCTGCATCACTGGTGGCTCTTGCTGTATCTCACCCTGAATTGCCTCTGGGACTAGAGCATCAAGAGCACCACTGCCTGGTCCCAAGCAGTCTGGAGCTTGCCAGTCTGAATGGTTAACCCTGGAATGACACTGCAGTTACTACTAGAGCAACTGAACCACTTTTATGCAAGACAACATCCCCATTTTACCTACAGACAAGTCATTTGCCTAATCAAATACTGACAGTGTCTTAAAGCAAGTTACTCCAACACTAACCTGTGAAAGCTGCTCCGAGTGTTGTTACTACCACGGATTTACTACAGGTTTGGAGCAAACTACTCCTGCTGGCTAACTTTTAGATAGGGTATGGAAATCCATCTTACCTGCCTTATGGAGGAGTTGTTTGCTGAAAACACTCCCACTGTAGTGGCTTGATTAACAAAGATGACATTTGAATAAGGGATACTTGAGTTACAAATGCACCAGCAAGTCCTTCTTAAGTACTTAATCACTACAATGAACTTTCTGCAAAGAAAAAGACCTTGTTACCTAGACTTGCACTTGAATGGCTGAGAACTGTGCCTCCCAAAATGCAGGGAATGCTGAAGCAGCCACAATTATATTCACATTAATCATTAACAGCATTACAAAACCCAGTGATGAAATTCCTGGGACTCATTAACAAGGGAAATAACATACACACTTTTATTTAAACATGGCAATTTACACAATAGCTCAGAGTTTGGTGCTTCCCCCCCCCCCCCCCCCCCCTTGGGAAAACGGGTGTACCTGGACATAAGAATTAGCACCTACTGTTTATAAAGAAAATAAAGACTTTACAGTTTTATTTACTGCAAACATGGGCAGATCTTAAGCAATTTAAGTGCAGTGACACGTGGATATGTTAAGTAATAAAATTTCTTATGATCATCCGATTAACTCATTGTTTCCCGTCAGCAGTGGTGTTTTGGGTAACTGGCTGTCTCTGGAACACAAGGAATGCATAGTTCATAAGGCTGAATACAAGGGACAAATCACAGTTGTGGTCTGAAATTATTGCAGCACAAGTTTTCAATGGCAGGGTTTGTAAAGCAGTAGAACATAAGAAAGAGGTAGGTACTTCCCTCCTCGATGGTAAGAACTTAACATCGTGGCTCAAGCTGAGTTGCTTTACATAGGGTATCTCAGGTACACCACCAAGTCACAGCAGGCTGGCTGAACTGGAAGATACTTCAAATGATAAATGTTTCACTGGCATTAAAAAGTTATATTGCAAGGGATTACTCTCTGCAGTGTGAGTCTTAACTTGAAATACACCCATCTAACCTTATAGTGGCATAAAGCCCTATTTACCTTTAGCAAGGGAAGTCCCTTTGCTAAGGAGGGCCACTGAAGATCAGAAGACTGACGCTTCCTGCAAGTAAAGTGCACTTTTCTGCTCATGCTGCTTCTAAAAAGCAACCTCTAATCATATGAACTTATTTATCTACCAGGATTGTCAAAACAGCAATCAAGACCTAATCCATTGATGGAAGTTACTGGGCAATGCCAGGAAGGAAAGCCACTTCTGGTGCAACTCTTGTACTATCTCCTCCTCCTCCTCATGAATTTGTATTTTCAATACAAGTATTTCTTCCTATTTCTGAAGCCTGGCTCAACATCCTCTTCAGAAGCAGTAACACCAGCACTCTGTGCACCACTGAACGCTATCAGTTGTACTGACAAAGCAGAGAGAACATTCACATGGAGAAATACCATCTTTTAAATTGCACTTTTTTTTTTTACAGAGCATATTGAGATTAGTGTGAACTTTTCAGATCATTACAACAATCTCCTCTGATTCAATCAATACCATCTACCTTACTGAATCATTAACAGTGTACTTGCCCTTTATACTGCAATAGGATTTAACCAAAAGGTGTTAAAATGAATACTCTGGGCATCATTTTCACTCAAACACAAGATGTCATGCACAGCTGAGACGTTAAGATTTGAAATCTATTTACAATTTTACATATTTTACAATATATATTTCATCTTTACAGCTACAGGAGAAATTCAGGCTCACATGGGTGCCATTCAAGTTTCTGCTGGAACTTGAATTCAAGTTAAACTAACCATTAAAACCAAGTAAGTGCATGCCCAGAAGGAAGCTCTCAGGAAAGAAGTCAATGGACTAGTGTTGCTTAAAAATTACACCAGTTTGTGTAGAAAATTGAAATTCAGTTCAAAAACCCACAAAAGCCTGATAGAAATCCACCTAAAATAAATACAATTCATTACACTTAACCAGAACAAAATGCACCTTTAAAAATGTACTGATTTAAGCTCATCTGATTTTTTAGCCTTAAATTTACTTCCCTCCCCAAGTAGCAGGTAACACTAGGTGAAAATAATGCTGCTTTTCAAGGGTAACACTGATAATTACCCTGCATACACCTGAGGCTGCAGTGGTGGGGGCAGCTTGTCATTCTCCACATTTTCAGAGTCAATAGCTGCTAAGGCTTGACTTTTTGGCTTTACTTCTAATGGATATTTCTCAACAATATCTTGGACTTCCTTTGTAATTCCTTCAGTCCAATCTATTAGGTCTTTCTCAAGCTTCTTGGCTTCATTGACAATTCTTTCCTGCCTCTCATTCAACTGAGACAGGAGGTCTAAGTTTTTATACATCTGCTTAACACCCAGGCACACATCAGGTGAGAAACTGTCGGCTTCTTGCTTCTTTGGGGATGTCTGACCAGTCATAAACCGATCAAAGTCTTCCTGGCTTAGGTTTAAAGACTGAGCATCCAGTTTTTCAATGAAGGCCACAGCACAGCACTGCAAACAAAACAGAGTGAGCATCACTGCAAGGTACAGACCGGAATGTACACCTTCATTTTTTATCCTGCTGTACATCACAAACCTCTAAGGTTTTTTCCCTCTCTATTTGGGAAGTGAGAGAACAGAAGGTACATGGCAGCTAGACAAAAGCACTATATTGATATTTAATGATCTGATCAGCAGGGATCTAATAAGCTCTCTATTCGTTTTCTGAAGGAAGGAATGTCAAATGCCCATCTTACCTTACAGATGCTCTCCTCAAAGGAATTTTTAACATTCCAAGTATTCCATTCATTTATTTTCCCTCAAGAATTGCTTTACAATGAAATGCAGAGAAGCCACATTTATAATTATAATTCCTTCTCAATTAAACAAGCACACACCAATAAATGCCTGCTGCAGAAGCTTTAAAGAGCCCATCTTAGCACCAGACTGTTCAAACAAAGGGTTTAACGTTATAGAGAAAGCAAAGCACTGTCTGGTTTGGAAAGCAGAGAAGGAAGAGGGAGGAGATAGAAAGCAAAAGAGCTGCTGAACTTTAAGTAACATCAACCACTATTGGAAGATTAGCTTTAATTTCCCTTCCATGTTATGTTATGTTTGCCTTTATTGGGAATCCCTCCATCCAAATAAAAGACAATCTTGTGTAAAACCTCCACACTTACCAGATTGGTAAAATAGTAACCATCTTCTCCTGTCATTAACCTGCTTGGATTACAGAAGCGGGTGATGTACTGGATGTTAGACTGCAGACGGGGTGGGTTTCCCTTCAAAACGATGTATATAAGTGTTGGAAGAAAGTCATCAGCAGAAGCTGGTTCATTTTTTGTGATTTTTATTGCATTAAATATATGCTTGCTGCACCTGGTGATACACGCTAGTTTATCACGAGGGACACGCTTTGAATCCATTTCAATGATATCTGTAAGATAAAAAGGTTTTCCAATCACTACAACTGTATTAATCAGGCACCTGAATGAGTAGGACACTTATCAGACAATACTAATACTGCAGCCGCTTTATCTGTGGTGCTTGCAGATCCATAAAAGAGCTGTTTATTCAACCTTCTCTTGGTTCAGTCCAAGTATTTCAAATAGATTCTTTACCCCTGCTCCACAGATACATCCTAGTCTGATACCATAAGGACTACTGCAAATCTAAAAGCCTGGACCCCCTTCTGATGACAGCGGAAAGTAACCTCCATGAGCAAAAGAGATGAAAATGAAAGCTGGAAACGTAAACTTCATTGGTCACAAACCTGTAATTGCTTTTACAACCATATCAGAGACTTCTGGGATTTCTTCATTGACAGGAACACAGAGCATCTGTGGAGTTACCCAGTGCAAAGCCCTGTGACAAGGAAAAAAAACACCATTAAATTGTTCTGTGCCGGTGACATTCAGGTGTTGGAAACCAGCTGCTGCTTGAATTCAAGGCACACAAGGAGTGCTTTGTGTAAATGAGGCATCAGTCCAGTCATAAGCTACTTTATTCCACTGAAGTAATTTATTTCCAGAAGAAATACTTTCTTTTTGCTATAATTTTATAAAAACCAAACCAATTTGTTTCCCTAATGTAGCAACTTTCATTATTCGCTCTATTCATTCCTTCTGCTTCTTAAATCAAGTGGGTTTAACCCTCTGCTTAAGAAGCTTGGCACTTTTGTGTGCACAGCAGGTCTGTAACATGCTCGATTCAGAGCTCATTTACAGGGCTGCGGATTACCCAAATAGTTTTCTTTTAAAGCCTTACCTGATTCTCTTTTGGACAGCAAGATCTTTCTTCTCATCATCTGTTGTCTCAGGGCAAAAGACATATTTATACTGTCGAGTCATAATGTATTTTTCAATCTGATCCATTGCTTTCTCCACTTTTTCAGGGGGCACTGAAAGGTACAAATCCCACCCCCAATACTGTAAATCAAGTATTTTGTGGCTCTTTTGATGATTTAACACAGTTTGGTCCTATTATCACCAAATCAGTACTGCTGACTTGAGTCAATCTGTGTTAATAGAATGGATATTAAAAAAATGGAGTATTTTTACTCCTTTAAATGTATCCCTGGATACATTTAAACCATGCCACTTACACACCAGGCACATAAAAGCTCCTGTTTCACTGGCTTCTTGTGCATCACAGTGTAATGTGAGGCTCACAGCCTGTTCATTGGGTTAAAGCTCCACACTCAACTGTAGTTTTAAACAAACACTATTGAATTTAAAACAAGAAATGAAAAGAACTGAACCCAATTTAATTTGTATTAACAAATTATTTAGGCTGTAAAACTTCATACAACCGGTGCCGCTGGGAATAGTCGTAACTATGGTACTAGAATCGGTTAACAGCACTTCTGACAGCTCGTTAGGAATGCTTTTACTTGAGGCTTTACCCTCAAATCATTACTTTTTGAGCAGTAAGATACAAGGCAGAAGAACACGGTACCTTTCCAACGTGTCTGTAATTTCTCTGCTACATTTTGGTAGAAGTCCTGAGCACATTCAGATTGCTCCTCAATACTTAAGTCCTGTAATAGAAAGCAGATTAAGTGTGCATGCATGGAAGAAATGACAGCAGTTCCTCTGTGGTTTGATTAAGGGAAGTGTCCAGCTGCAGTAACAGTCTGAGAATGCAAATGTATCATCAGAGGTACTTCTGTTGGGTAAATTATACCCAAAATGTGAGAACCAAGATGCACTGACTCCTCGGCATGTGAAAGACATTTATTTACTGAACAAATATATATTAGCCATAAAATTGCACAGCTGGAATGCCACTTTCCCCAGACCCATCCCTGAGTATCGGTCACAAACCAATGTAGACTGTGAAGCCGAATGCTTGCTCCCTATTTTGTCTCTAATTTTTCAAAGAGACACCATAAGTCCACCAAAAACCAAGAGCATAAATCATAATCTGAAATGATATCTATCCAATAAAGGCTCCTAATGACTATGAAAAATATTCACAGTGTTACTTGTGAAACAACGCTGTCTTTTGGGCATCAGCTAACTGAGCTACTGAAGAACATAACAGATTGAAGGGTTAAAACTGACTTTATCCATCAGGTCTCTCTGCACTATTAATGTCAGTATAAAACCATACCTAAAACCAAAACAGAACTGAGAGAGAACTCAGATCCCGAATTCTCCAAGGCCAAAAACTAGACAGTTACCCTGGATGCAGTCTCAGCTCTGATGGCAGTGCTGCATTTTAGGCCTGATTTATGTGTAGGAGCAAACTGTACATTTTAAGAAAGACTTCTTTTTGTCTAGCACAAGTCATCAAGGAACTAGGAAATGAAAGGACTTTCAGTGTTTATAACCAATCAGTTCCAAACAAACTTCAAGCTGTTTTCAAAGTGGAGGGCATGTCAGATTCCACCCCAACTCCCTTTAATTTCAGTCCAGTTTGAGGATACAACTTAACTACACACTAAATAGGAGAGGTAGAAAAGGAAAAAATAGAGGTGTCCTGAACACTGACTCATTTCAACCACAGGTGGCACTAGTGACACATTAATATTTAAGGAACATTAAAGTTTTAATGGAGAATGAAGATGTAACCTGTATTCCATATTAAAAAAGCACAGTCAATTCCCCTTCCCCAAAGGAAAGGAGATGTGTGGGTTGATACTTTCTTTATAACCTTTTAAGACTTAAGATACCTACAAATTCACAACGCACTATATTCTAATTTCCACAAGTCATTTGTCTAGAAGACTGTTCCACAATCTGATTTATATGGGATTTGCTCAGATTTAATTTATCTGGGATGTAAAGGAAAGCTCTTTCAATATACTCAAGACACTGGGGTTGGAGGTCTCTTTGCATACCAAAAAGCAAGGCCATTCAGAAGTTAAGACTGCCACTGTTCTTCATTTGACTATGCATATCAGACATATGGCACTCCTGTATACAATATATCAAACCCAAACTGCTGGAAGAAGAGCAGCATTTTCTCCATCTCTCCCTAATTTCCCCATTTATTTATGTCAGAGGCATGCAAAACTTACCCTTTTATGATTCATCGTGTCCAAAAAGAGCTTACATTGCTTATAGATATCTTGTCCAGGCTTATGATATGTCTTGAGGAATTCTATGAATTCCTTGGATACCCGATCTGTCTCGATGCTGGCTTGCCTGTTTATAGAAGGGCTGGGAGCCTTGGCTTCTTGGATCTCTGCTGGGAAAATTGGGGCACATCAGATTAGGTTTTTTACACTGATGGATGAATGCAGGACGTGCTTAACGTGTCTTGAAATTACAGGTTGTTTTTTCAACTGTGCAGAGGAATGAGCATTTATTTCTCAAGCTTTAGCAGTGAAAAGCTGGATATTATTAAACAGAATGCCAGGAAACTGAGTAACCCACAGCAGCAAAACATTCATAGCCACAAACCCATTTACACTTAATGGCAGTTTTACATTAGCATATTACCATAACATGGGTTTGCTTTTGGGTTTCTTACATTTTTCATTCCCAGGTTAGATAACTATGTAAGAGCAAGGTTTCCAAATGGGATTCTGCAGCGATTTAAGATAATGGAGGGGTCCCTTCCCCATTCTCCCTCACCTTCACATTCCTGCTTTGCTGGCACCACCACAAGTTCTCAACTGGCTCATGAACTAGCTCAGGGGCCAGTCCTACTCAGAAATCAGTGCTGCTTATGGGGTTACTTTCCCTCCTGATCAGCTCCCCAGGCTGGCTTCCCATCATGAGCAGCAGCAGAAGACAAGGAATGGGAGCATGAGGTTGGTGCAAACACAGCAGCCCTTCTTTGCTAGGCAGCAAACGCCACACAATCACACCCACAGTGCAAATGGGAACCTGGTCACTTGTGTTTCAGCTAGGGCAGCAGCACTGTGTCTGCTGGAGGAAGAATCTGCTTCACGCTCAAGGAGGAGGCAGGAACACCAGACTGCACACAGCACTGGATGCAAGTTCATACAGCTGCAACCACGGGGTTTTTCCATGCAAAGACATCTGGCTTTCCAAAGCATGTGCCGCAAGTTAACTGTACTGATCCAATACCTTCACTACCCAAGTTTAGTTCACCCACCTTTCAGTTTGCCAGCCAACACTGTTCAAAATGAAGGAGTGAATAGAGATGATGTACATGAACATGATGAAAAGCAAGCAGCAGAAAGACAGAAAACATGAAAATATTCATGGTCAACACGATACAGACATATCTTTCAATCTGAAAACACAAACATGCACAACAAAAAACATCTGTTTCCATAAGCATACATGCAGAACAAACTAGAAGGAAACAAAATCAAAGGAAATGAATGGGATTAGTATATTTAAGTTGGCGTGTTTCATTTGGATTTGAGGTAACTTACTGGTGGTTCTTTGGTTTGCTGTTAGTTGATTTTCAAGAGATCCAGCACTATAGTAAATCCAAAGCTGTATGATCCAGTGACCAACAATCACTGATCATCTGACCACATCACAAGACTCATTAGGACCTCACAGATTAACCCTCTCTGGATAATCCTTTGGTCAGGTACCGGTAGAACATTTATGGTATTTAAGTGATAAGAATGGAAAAGGTTTTGCAAACATTTAAATTCCAGCTGTAGCAATCAAGATAGAGAGTGCAAATCAACCTCCTTCCTAGTTACACAAGAATGCTTTTCCAGCAGGGATTTCCTCCTAACTTCTTTATCCTTAAGATTCAAGATGGAATGCCTGTATAGTATTCAAGCTGAATGGCAACCATTCCTTATGTTGAACTAAATTTGCCACAGTTAACATCACGCAACCAATAAGCAGAAAGCAGAGTTTTGAAATAACACTCAAAGCAAGCAGATCCTCTTTTGAAAGAACAGAATTCCAAGCTATTTTTTTCCACAATTACTGACTTCATTTGGAAGTTGAAGTTTTATTACTCACTTCAACACTGAGTTTGCTGTATTATCAAATAAGAGTTCCACTACTGGACCTTAGGGGTATGACTCTTTCAGTCATAGATTTAAAATGGATTATTTTTAGTTACTCAAATGATGCAGTCAACTGAGGCAGATGACTGTTAATGCATGCATTAAAAAACTGAACATTAAAATGAGGTGTGTTTTTAATGAGTCATGCCAAGAACTACATGTTGTCACTCAGAAGCGATGCAGCTTCATTAACCTCAGTGTTGAAATCCTGATTTAAGGAAAATGACTTTGTACAATGTGCACTGATTCCTAAGGATTGCAGGAACAAATGGACTTTCAGCAACAAAATGTTGCTGAACATCTTCGTGATGTACTCTGGAAGAATTAAGTCTAATTAAAAAGAAGATGATTAAAGAAATTCCATTTGAACAAGTTAAACAGAATCTAATAGAAGAGATAGGCCAAAATGAAAGAAAGGATGGGAAGAGTTAAGAAAGGATCACCTTTACAGAGGATAAAGGCTATTAATATGAAGCTCTTTCTCAAGGCATTCTACATAGAAGCAAGTTGTCACAGCAGAACATCAGCACTCCAGTGATTCACTATGGTTGTGCCATGGTCATAGATCTGTGTCCAAGCAAAGTGTTTGTCTTCAGCTCTGTAACACACACCCATTCCTCCTCTTCATATAATTTACAAAGAATGGTACACCTTCAAATCTCTTTAGTCAGCAGAATGCATCAGAACTGCAAACAAATAACACAGGACAAGATCCTAGAGCTGTTTGCATCAGGGGTTTTGGTGTCCTTTTGGCTTAAATGAAACCAGAATGTCCTCTCTTGATAGAAAACTGTCTTCTTCATTAATACAACAAACATCTGGACATAGTTTGAGAGTGCAAAAGTTCTGGAAGTGTGAATTATTAAAATGAAGTCATTTCAATTTATAATCAGATTTATAATGGCAATATGGGATTATTTTTTGATACAAATACGAAGCAGCACAAGATGCAGCTACTGCATAACCCTTCAGATGACACACTGAGGCAGAGCTCAGAAATTCCAGCTTTATTCCTACACTCTCCCCACCAAAGAGCAAAGAATTGGTTTAGTGATTCAAGCTCCCCTCAAGATGCTGGAATTGCTTTTTTTGTCACCTCCATCTTCAACAGCACGAGTTACAACTGGCACAACCCTAGTTTGTATTTTGCAAAGCCCAACTAAGAAGTAAAGCTCACTAAAATCAGGCAGACAGCTTGCTCAAGCTGTACTGCATTACCTTCAGAAGGGGAAGCCAGTTCCCAGGAGGGAGTAAAAATCTCCTTCAAATCCCTGAGAATGTTATCAGCATTTCGCTCCCTCCCAGGCTGTCCTTGCTTAACGCCTTTCTCTTGAGCCACTGAAATGAATGCAAAAGCCAAGCGAGACACCAAGAGCAGGAGCATGTCAGGAGAGATGGTGAAGGGGTAAAAACAAAAAGAAAACATGGAAAGTGAGAATGAATGAACTTAAAAAAGAAGCTTTTAATACATAGCTGAATGTGTCGTTTAGCCAGCTGCTGCCCATGCACCAAGACAAAGTCTAAGATGAAATTCAGGCACACAGTATTTCTCATTAAGGAAATGCATCATCAATAAGGCTAAAATACATTAATGAGGGTTTTTCTTCTGGAATGCCTATTCCACAGTATTTTCCAGCTTTTGCCCATGTAAGCTACTGCTATGCAAAGACTTCAGCGCCATTAATCATTCTTGTAACACATGCTATAGAATAAACATTGAGGCAACCACAGACTCGATATTTGCAACCCACATACACATAAGCACAAGTTTCCTTTCAGATTCATTCTCATTTAAAGGCACCCTGCTTACACATTCCCTTTTTCCTATTAAAGCTGTTGGAGTGATCATTATAGCAGCATCACCTGATCAGCATTTCTATCACAATTGGACATACCAGTTTGTTTGAGGTGACTGACAGCCAGTCCCTTTTCTCCTGCCTTCTTTCGGAAGAGTTAGCTCCCCTTCAAGTCCTACAGCACAGTATCCAACTATGGCTGGCTCATGAATCTGGCAGGAACATGCATCATATGAATGAGATACTTCCACTCAGTGCAGTGGTGTACCACCACCAGGAATACGTTTGCACTACACTTCAGTGGAAGAACTCCTGTATAACTAACACAAACATAGTCACACGTTTAGAAGTGCACTGCAGTACTCAAAACATTGTTTGGCATCACCCAAAAGCTCATGCTTTCATGTGTTTTCAGGAAGACTTCACACACAGTAATCACCCTCCAACTTCTTGAAGTTAAATCACAGTGCACTACCCTGCCTTTTAGAACAATACATCCATCAAAACCACTTTTTAACTTAACATGCTGTTCAGAACCACTAAAAGCAAAGGAGGAAGTTACCCTTCTTAGCTCCTGTTCTGGAAGAAGCAGTGAAGAACTTCTTCACAGTAGTGACTTTCCGTGTTTTCTCATTGGTTTTCTTTTCTTCAAACTTGGAAAAGGTCAGTGACTGTGCCCCTTGGGTGCTCTGGCTACTGGCATAGGCTTCTTCTTCCTCACGCTGAAGCCTGCAATTAGAAAGTGTAGGTCTTAAACCAGCACAAATAAGCTGTGCAATGAATTACTCATTTGACATGCTAATTCTCCTCTATGCCCATCTTCATTTCTTGTTTCCTACCCCATCTCTGTTCACTACACTACATCCACTCTTTCCATGTTGCAAGGGTGAAAGCAAGGAAAAGCTTATAATGGCCAGGGAGGATTAAGTAGTAAGGTCAAAAGGGAGGAGACTGAAGTATAATCATGGTCACCTTCCCCTCCTGTCACAGCCCTCAAATCTACACAGGTAGAGGTGAGGTGAAAGACTGTGGGAGGACTCCCAATAATTGATTCAGTTGCCTTCCTCCCTGCATCATGTTCCAAGTTTCACAACCTATTACTCTACCATCTTATTAAGATAAAACTGTGGCTCACAGCCGAACAAGTGAAATACCCTGTCACAATCTCAGAAATATCCTGGGCAATAAATCACTGTTGTCATAAATGGCTTTCAAAGCCTTGGAAATACATATGCTTCTTGAATGAATGAGGCAAACCACTGCAACACTGACGGGTGTTCTGCAAAGACCAAGCTCATCTTTTAATCTACATGTAGAAAGTAGGGGAGGGCAAAAATACCAACCCTACTTTTCTTCCTATGCAGGAGGATTAAAATAGGTTAAGCTAGATCCCCCTTCATGATGCTACCAGGTTAAGCCATTTTTCTTTAAACTTACATCCATTCAGCTCAGGATGGACCATAAATGGTCTTGCATTTGTAATCTCTTGGGTAGGGAATTGTCTCTTATCCGTGCTGACAAGTCTGTTCACTACAACAAACAACCTGAGCTTATCTGTTCCTTTAGTATCTCCCTGCTGAACAGTTATGTATTAAAGAATTCCCTAAATACCCCACTTTATTGTATGTAGATGTTAAGATCGACAGTGTAACTATCTGCTCTGATAAGACTTAAGTTTTTATTTACTGTTAAAGCCAAATTTATGGCAGAAGAAACAAAAAATGTCCTCTGTACTGTACTCAACAGCTTACCTGGCACCTTCTGATAAGGCTAGAAAAGGTTTCAAGCACTTCTTTCTACCTTTCTTAGAAGTTTCTGTTCCAGCTCCACTTTAAAACAAACCAAACTCCTTCAAGGCTTAAGGCAAGAGTGTCTAAAGGAGTTAGATACCAGCAAAACTTGGGCTTCCAAACCACAACCATCCACCTGGACCCAGCTGAAGTTCAGAAAGCTTTCACAGATGTCACCTTCTTCAGAGAGGCTGATGTGAACACTGCAGTTAATGCCTTCTTTTCCTTCCTTTTGTTTTCTTCCCCCAGTGACCTTGGTTAACACATCACTTGGTAACTCAAGTTCACTGAAGGTTCCAAACTCAAGGGCAGATAAGTCTCTTGGGCATTTATCTCTAGAGTTCTGACATACAGCACTAATACATTAAGGTAAGTGTATGCAGAGAACTGTGCCAATATGAACAAGCATCTTGGCCAGCTCACGTCAACTACCAATCAACTCAGCTAGATGCTCCTCCATCTCAAGAATTCACATAACCCTGAAACAGTTAATGTAGAGTGGATGTCATGTAACTCACACCTGGATGTTTCAGCTGTAGTACAAAGAGGATGCTCTGCAGTTTCTCAGACAGTGGATAAATCCTTTTCTTTCTACCCAACAAAAAGCAGTTGTAGCTGCTCTTATTTTCTCACTCAGGTACAGGTTTCCTGCAACACTCATTTTCAGGGTCAAGCAAGGAAAACTAGAGAGCTCTGCTTACCTAAATTATTAAAGCCAAAGTTTTGATTCTTTTGGTCTTAACCCTTCAACTTAAACCCTTCATCTGACAACAGACTCAGCAGCTGCAATGGAAAACCATTGTGCTGGCTGTATTCAAGACAATAACTTCGGTCTCCAGAGACAGAGGTATTTTAATCAAAATTATCACTTTCACCCTAGTCAGAATTACAGACTTCAGTATGCAAATCAGGTCAAAGCATTTGTTGAGAGCTTGGGGGGGTGTTTCCATTTGTTACTTCACAGACTTTCTTTTGAAACCTCTTAAATTAGAACGTCATAAATATTCATCTTTGCATCAAAAGGAACATTTTCATTCCTGATGGAAAGGTCAAATCTGAGAACTTGTGATGAAACTGAGACAGAGCTAGAAAACAGGAGATGGGAATGGTATTTGGTGAAGTCAGCCTGCTGTAGGAGATGAAGGAATAAAGAGGGCTCTTTACCGCTCTGCCAGCTCCCAATCCTCTTGAATCTGTTTCTGCCTGGCCTTATGGTATTCCTCTCTCCAGCACTTGGAGCAAAATCCCTGCCAAGCAGGATTGCCATAGTAACCACATCCTTTCTTGCACAGTAGCTCCGACTGATCAACGTGAATCCCTCTGCGTTCAGATTTCAGGCTCATTTTCTTCCTGTTTGAAAGGAGAAAGGTTAAAGACAGAAACATAACAGCAGCCTCCTATAAATCATTTATTTTGAAGGCTTGCCTTTTAGAAAGAAGTAATCTGTTTTAATTATTTAATAGTGCCATAACAATAAAGGCAAGGCCAACGGAGAAAGGGTGCAGTTATACAACCACACAGCCCCAAAGCCAACTGCAGCATTACTGTGCTTGCACAGCGCTGGCCTGCAAACAGTCCCAGACAGCCGGCCTAGAAAGCAGCACCAGTCACAGCCAGCTACTTCCACACATGGGAAAAGGCTCTGATCTCACAAGCACGTTGTTCTTAACAGGCACAAAGCAACGGAGGAAAAGAAACACAGAAAGTTAATCACCAACAAAGGAAGCAAACTGAGTAAGAGACAAAACCCAAATAGGTTTGTCTTCAAGCTGAGACTGCCTCTGCAAAGAATCACTTTGCAGAGACTAGGTAACAGATCCTTGGCCTCGAAGAATGTGCCTTCACAGCACAGTGGAGTATCATAGCTAACCCAGCAGGGCACATCAGCACGAATGAGGATGATCTCCATTTCCTTTAGCTCTCAAGTTACTTCAGAGTTAAGCTGGGCACAGCTCTACAGAACTTATATATACTGACTGATTTATTCTCATGCCTACACTACCACTATGCAGAGCCTGTCTTCCAACAATCCAACGCTCCCTTTTTTTCCCTTGCTTGACAGAAACCATCCCACATACCAGCTTGCTCCCAAGGGCATTTCAACTAGTTCCAATTTTAAATGCTGGAGGGAGGTTTAGATTAGATATAAGGAAGAAGCTCTTCCCTGTGAGGGTGGTGAGGCTTTGGCACAGGGTGCACAGAGAAGCAGTGGCTGCCCCATCCCTGGGGCATGATCTTTATGAGGGGGGAACAAACTAAATATTCCATCTTATCTATGTAAGTGTTAAGGCTCCTTCCAAGAACAGCTTTTCTGTCTTTGAAAGAAATGAGTGTCTAAAAATAGTTTCATTGTAGGGATGGGTATAGTGAGGGAATCAGTTTCTTTATGACATCATTTATAATGACGCATCCCATTTCCATAGACAGAGAGCAGCTGAACACTCTTCTCTTTCCCATAGAAATGCCTGACAGTTAAACAGACATTAATACGCTTCTGCAAAGCAAAATGAGAACCAACCAACCAACTACATCTTAAGTATTTGAGAGCTTTACTTCATTCCCACATGGATAAACTAACAGGGGGAAATCAGGACATTGCCCTCACCAAAACATTCTAGTTTCTGTGCTACCATCATTTTATGATTCCACAAGTAAGCTCTTTATGTTGACTGCAATGATACACAAATCTGCCGACCAACAATCCAGCTACCAGACCAGAAATCAAACAGCAAATGTTTGTCCACTGCACAGCCTGGGACGGAAATAGCATGTTGGCACTGTCTGGAAATACAGCCCATTCTCAGAGCATCACACACACCCTTTATCACCAACTCTGCAAAGAATGGGGAAGCAAAAGCTCGAAACTCTCCAGTTGCTGCTGATTCAGCCTAAACACCACTTCCTAAAACTAGAAGCTGCAGCAGCATTTCGGTTAGAGATTTCTATTGGAGGAGCCTGTAGAAACCACACATAGAATTTCCACTATTGCCATTAATGTAAAGCTGATCAGCCTGGATGTTTTCATTGCAAACTGCAGGGAGCTATAAATACACAATGGGCAAAAATATTTCCATAATAAGCTTCAAAAAAGTATTACACCCATCTCTATAACACACAAGGAGATAACAGCCCTGCTCCTATCACTCACTCAGTAGGGTAAGTTAAAAGTCTGTAGGCCAGTTTCATGAATTCAGATGTCTGTTCTTACCCAAATCACCATGAATTAGCTTTCTGTATCCACAGAGTTTTAACCACCACAGTTACCTCTGGCACCCTGCTAGCTCTTTATGTACATCAGAACTAAAACTAAGGCTCTGTTCAGTGTCAAGCTCAGCAGCTCTCCCTGCAGTGAGCAAAGCAGGTCTCTTAACAGCAAGATTCTTCTCTTTCTTGCATTCTTTCAGGAGAGATTTGTAAATAGTCACAAAGCCAAGCCACAAAGCAAAGCAAGTTGTTCTGTTTCCTCCCCTTCAAGCGTTTTCGATTGCATCAGTTTCAGATCGAGGGACAAAAGAGGTCACCCTGAATCAATATGAAGGAATCACATGCTGCACTTGGAGCAGAGGCACTCTGGTTTCCTTAAACACAGGCAAGCATTACACTAAAAATGTCACAGCCAATTTTTGCAGGGCAGCATCCACATTTAACAAAACAACTCAATGCATTTTAATAAACTGAATATGAAAAATCCATCTTAAGTCGCCTTTCTGCAATGAAATCGCTGCAATTTAATGATCTGCCATTCCTAAACATGTTTTGTTGGAATTTTTCCCTTTTTTCTAATTTTTTTAAGCTGTCTCGCCCATGGTTGCTCTGTGATTCTGTCCAAGCTGCAGCTGAAAGCACACATACAAACAGGACAGGGGTTTAGTTACCGCAGTCATAGAAGTGCCAAAACCAGAAACCCCAACTTCTCTACAAACTCCTGTTGGCCAACAGCCACATCACTTTCCCTGTGATCGTACTTCATACACTTCAATCCATCTTTGAAGATTTACTAAAGGAAACACAGAAAGAGTAAAGACACAAGAAACACACATTTTATTGCAAGTAGTACCAGAGAACAACAAAAGGGTTAAGGTCAGCCCGGAGTGGAGCAAAGTGGAAAGGGTTTTCTTAAGAAGTGTTTGCCATTGACCTGAAGGGCAGCAGCATTCACTGAATGCAATTAATAAAACCTACATCCTGGTTTCCACGGAGTTTCTAGTTTCAGGTGTTGGGAGACCAAGTTTTTCATGGGAAGCAATGAGGATACATCTAAACCTCATCCATTCCATCAAAGCATTTAGTCTTCAGGCAATATTTGCAGATTACAATCTACAATCTCAATTCCCTGTGTAATGCTGAGAAACAGCTACAGAGACCAAAACACAACCTACAACAGTCACCAAAGCTCAGGCAGCAACACCTTGCTCACATCCCATCCAGAGGACAGCCAACCTCTGACCTCTTGAGTGCTCATATAAAAAGACAGTGAAGTTCAGCAGTAGCACAGAATGAACCAGATTACACTGATGGAGCACAACTATTTTGCTACTACTTTATCTAATGATCTTCCATGACATTCCCATGGGACTAAAGATAAAAACCTTCCCAAGCAGTGCTATTTCACAATTAAAACTCTGGCATAAGAAGAGAGCTCAGAAGTTTGTCAACACCTGATGATCACATGTGACAGCTTGGTGTGCAGGCCAGTTATATAAAGCACAAAACTAGCTCTCCATTTTCAAAAGGTGCTCTCTCCTCCAATTGTAAGTCCATAAATCCATAGGCCATTTTTGTCAGAACCCCATAATGGTTCTGACATTATGGACTGAAGTAGCAGCAATTACTGCTTGAGGACATTGTGGCTCAAAGCTCTCAACAACAGCAAAAGACTATCTTCTACTTTTTACACAGACCACATTACAAAAGAGCTAGAAAAATCACAGTAAACTTATTAAAGCAGGTATCATAGTCCCAGCAAAGAGCAAGTGCATTCTTAGCTTTAATGTGGTATGGAAAAGGGGCTCCCTTCATCAAAGAGGATCTGTCACTAAGGGCTGATTTAACACACACATGAAAGGGATTCCACTTACGTAACACAGTCTTTCCAGCAATAAACCCAAGATCATTTTCATAACACATTAGGGTTTCCAAAGACTGCAGACACAGCTTTGGCTTCAGGAAAAGCACTGTGTGTGAAAGGAGGGATAGGAGTACAGATTTATCAGCAGCTTGTATTTCTTGTTCCTTTCTGGTACCTACCTACTTTACTTCCTAGAGACTGAGTAAGCAGATATCCTTCTTGTCAATGCAGATGGCATCACAGCCACAACGAGATACTGACTTCTTCATAAACTATTTATCAGTTCTGGATTGCTTAGGGTCATCTCTGGTAGAAGAGCTGGTTGAGAAAGCTGAGATAGCAAAGCTGAGCAGAAAAGGGTCTCATTTAATCAGTCTATAAATGCCTTTAGTAAGAGGTCATTGCAAGTCAATTTAAAATTACTACAAGCTATGAAAACTAGTTTCTAGCTAACTCTGTGTGCTAACACTGGAAATGAAAGTGGTATAAGGCTGTTCTATGAATGACTTTCAATTTCGGTAACAAAGTCCCTTAAACTTAGCCCAAAATAGGAAAAGGCTTCATGTAACAGAACAGGCAGGCTGCCACAAAGGTATGAAACTGCCCCTGACTTCTAGAAAGCCTCCTTCAGCCTCCTACACTTCAGATCACAAACCCACATCTCCTCACATCTGAATCCCTCTGCCTGCTTTCGGTTTGGGTTCTGCTTGTTTTCTCTCATCTCTTTCTCTTTACTCCCTGAAATCAAGAGTCTTCTCAAGAAACTCTTGGCACAACTATGAGCAACTGAAGCAAATGCGATTTGGCTTTTCAAGTTTAAGTCTTCATAGCACTTAATGAACAACGTGCATTCACTCTTCTCATTAAACAGTATCACAGGGCTTCAAAGAGTGTTCACAATGTCTCTGCAACTGTCTGGTCCTTAGTGGCCATCCCCAGGCAGGAAGAGAAGAAAAAATGAGTAAGTCTCCAAACACACATTTCTGGTTTATATTTTACTGGTGCCTGAATAGAACATCACACTTGACAGCAGATCAGGAGAGCAGCAAGTCCCACCTAAAAGCACACCCAACTTCAGTTACTGAACACAGATTTACAAGGTGGGTTAGGAAGTGCATCAAAACTGAGGGGTGGGAGGATGAGATTTGGTTAAAACTCTGTATTTTGCCAATGGGAAAACATCCTTAAAATAGCATGGACTTATTCCAAAGAATAAATAAATGCCACAAAATTCTTCAGAGCCACCTAAGTGTCGAAATGTGCATGATTCATGGGCAACCCTGAACATTCCAGCATGTAATTAGCAGCAGGATAATTAACTAATGAGCTAACTTCCTCTAAAGGAATGGGTGGAGCAGCATGATCCAAGAGACTCAGAACAGAAAACAAAAGCCATTAGGCAGCTCAGGAGTTAGGGAAGGAACATGGTTGCTGTCTTTGCAGAGCATGAGTCTTCAGTTTCAATGTGCATCTTTCTTGCAACCAAGTCATTTCAGCTGCAGTGCTTGTTTCCTGGTATAAACAGTGCAGGCTGCTAATTAATGATCCTGAGGACAGAAGTCATTAGCTGTAATGACAGACACACGGTCTCATCAGCCACCTGAAAATAACCACAGTTTGGAGCTGTAATTTGGCAGGGGAAATTGCAGCCACCACTTCAAACTTCTTGAAGCCAAATGGCCACAAGGCTTCACCACTCTACCCACAGAGCTCACAATTTCAACTTGAAGATGTGTTTTCCCCTCAAACATCAGTACAGGCCTTAAGCTACAGTATTGTTTGTCCACACTGAAACCTTAACTCCAGCCCGTGGCACTGGCCACTTAGTCAGGAGTAACATGAATTCATGAATGAACAGGCTGTCTCACCACCTACATGTGACTCATGATTGAAATCACAAGAAACAGCTGAAAACTGCTTTGTACTGTTTGGGAAAACAAATAAGAATATGAAGAGGATTAGCTAAAACTTGTCAAACCTCCTCAGCTACAGCAGTGATGGAGCTTCTACATGCTCTGTGCTTTTTCCAAGACATCAACCACACTCACTGGATTCAGATTAAAACTACAGGTTAAAATCTTGGAGAAAAACTGCAGAACATCTTACACACTTTGTACCTGACTTGTTACTGACAGTGCTTTAAAGGACTCCACAAGCACCATTTTAGGTGTCATTTGAGTTCACAAGTAGTCCAATATCAGAAAGAAAGAAATAACACCCATAATCGGGCATTACATAGCAAACATCAGGAGGGAGCTGAGACTGTTCTAGATTAGATAACACTGCAAACCAAGATTAAATATCAGAATCATGGACTATCATCAAGCTTATAATCAGAGTTTGTTGCATAAAGACATCTTAAGAATGACTGTAACCTGATTTATATCCCTTTCTTCTCTTTTATTGTGTACTGTTTTAGGGTTTTGTCAGCAAAGCATTTCATGGAGTTACAGTTCTCTTCCTAACCTTCCCTGCTGCAAAACACTTGTGTAACCATGTCCAGAAGGCCAACGATTCCTGAGTAAAGCTCTGTTCCTGGAAAACACTACATCCTTCTGTGCTGAGCTGTCTCAAAGGAGTCTCAGGTAACTGGAAAGGCAAGAGCTGCTCCATACACATCCCATGAAGAACTGTCAATACAAAGCATCAGTTCAAAGAATACATTTACAACCATAACACCAAACAAAAGAAGTACGGAATATTGACAGTGGATTTAAATCACAGCCTCCCTTTTTCCACCCCTTCTCCAAAACTAAGCACTGCCACCAACTCCCAGCACTGGGCTACATCTCAGCCCCCCAAAATGAGTTCAGTTTTGCCTGTAACAGCCCCCTCAGTTAACTCAACAACCCCTCACACAAGCACCAGTGCCCTGCCCACACCAGCAGGATTTAAGCCGGAGTTAAACCACCTCCTCAGACGTTCTGTTACTCCAGGTGTGTCATTTCTCTTTCAACACTTCACACACCCTCTCTGACTATACAACCGCTCCCTGCTGCAAGAGAACAACCTGAACAGGCACAGGGTGTTCACACGGTGACAAATACCCACAGAAGCATCCAAAACGTGCTGCTCAGCATCTTAAACACACTCCAAACGCCATCTGGTTTGGGCTTCAAGGACTTTGATCCCCAGCCTTACAGCAGACACCCATGCAGCAAGACTGCTTATAAGCAAAGAGTTCCACATGGAACTCGGTAGGGAAACAGAGGGGCCCGACCTGCGAAGTTTGTGGCACCTTCACCCTGATTAACTATCGAAACACACCCATGGGATTAAGATAAATACATATAAAAACAACCTAACGTGAGGAGCTGCACGCAGAGCCCGCAGGCTGAGCACGGTTCTCCGCGTCCCGGTGCCCTCAGCCCGCTTACAGCCCCAGGGGAGGCGGCGGGGCCGGTAACGACACCCCCCGTCCCCCGGCCTCAAAGTCGGCCCCGACACGGCATCGCCGGCACTTACATCACAAGCGGCGGGGGAATGCAGACCCCGACCGCGCTGCCCCAACCGCCATCGCCCCCTCAGCGCAGGACCCCCCTCCCGCCGCCGGGCCCAGCGGCCCCCGGGCCGCCCCCACCGGGGCCCGGCAGCGCCTCAGCGGGGTCAGAGCCGCTGCTCACCGGTTGCCCCGGGCTGGGCGAGACCCGCGGCTCCGCTCCGCGTTGCTCCGCTCCTCTCGGCGGCGGCGCTGCCCTCAGCGCGGCCCGGAGCGTCCTCCCCTCCGCGGCGGAAGGACGGACAACGACTTCCGGGGGCGGCGCCCGATCCCGGAAGGAACGCAGGGGAGAGCTTGCCTGCGGCTGGCGGGTACGGCCGGGGTATAGGGAACCGGGAGAGGGGCTTGGGACAAGGGCCTGCAGGGACAGGACAAGGGGAATGGCTTGAACCTGCCAGAGGGGAGACTGAGCTGAGCTCTTAGGCAGAAGCTCTTCCCTGTGAAGGTGCTGAGGCGCTGGCACAGGGTGCCCAGAGAAGCTGTGGCTGCCCCATCCCTGGCAGTGCTGAAGGCCAGGCTGGACACAGGGGCTTGGAGCAAGCTGCTCCAGTGGAAGGGGTCCCTGCCCGTGGCTGAGCTTTAAGGTCTCTTCCAAACCAAACCATTCTGTGATCTCTACGATTCTATGGCAAATGATTTGCTTTTACCTCAAACTCTGATCAGGCAGCACTCTGGAGCATGGGCTTATGCAGATTGCAGAAGGAACTGAAAGAGCTACTGCTGTTTAAACCTTATTCCTCTTTCCCTTCTCATTTACACAGTTCTCTTGTGCTGTTTTTTGGTGTCTGGGTTTGTTTTTTTTTCCTTCCACAGCAGGGCTCAACACAGACATCCAGCTGTGAAAGCAAGGGATGGCGTTAGCAAGACAAATGGACAGCAGGGAGTAGGCTAGTTACTTCAGAAACTGAGCACTGCACAAGCAGGGACACTTTGGCCCTCCTTGGGAGTGTCTGATAGGAGCAGAAGAGCATGGGGGGAAAGAAGCAGAACTGAAAGGGGTGCTTCCAGCCCATCTACCCAGGGAGACTGCAGACACTGCAAAAGTATTTCCTTCCTTTGAGGGAAATGATAGTGAACAAGTTAGCGGCTGGTGCCATGAAAAATGAAGCCTGCAATGGAGATTTGTATCTTTTCATTTGCAAAGCAAGCTCAAATCATAGGGACTGCAGTGGCTGCAGACTACATTCCAGCAGTTTTCAGTGGAATGTACTTTTATTGCACAACACAGACTTGATACCCACATTTTCTTCTATGTATTTTAGCTAAAAACCATGGACTCTGTATTACCTGAACTGAAAAGTCAAACGTCGTAAGAAATAATACACCACAGTATTAAACATCACGCATCAACTTACTTAAACATCAAACCCTGATTGGTAGCATCCAGGCCAGATTTCCAAAGGCATTACGGGTTACAATGCATAGACACCTACAATTTACAATTGAGCAACACAAAATCCATTTACAAAAGTCACAGTGAAAGTGGAGGTAAACTTATACTGAGCTTGTGTAAGTAAAATGACTAAGAACTGTTTTGGGAAGCAACTTCCAGTTAGAGGACTATATACAGAAGATAGTATCAGAACATGATAGTGAAAGACTGAAGGGTTTTTTTCTGTTTGTTAAATTATGTTACCATAGCCCAAAACTCAAGACTATGCTGGGCCCTCTCTGCTGTGCGTGACCAACCTGAAAACAATGACAACTGTTTATCTATAGGTAACCAAAGAGATCAACACAACTCCAGGGCTCAGTAATACCAACCATAACTTAAAGCCTGAGGGGTCTATAAATTGCCTGAAGTAGTTGTTAAATTAAGTGACAGAAATATCATGTCCCAGAGATTTATGAGGAGTTAAGAGAGCATCTTTCTGCTCTTACCTGCCAGGCAGTTGCATGTCAAATTTAATTGCTTTGCTATGCAGAAAAGAAAGATCCAGTGTATAAGATGTGACATAAAGGTCCTCAGATCTCTGAGTGATGCTGAAATTCAAGTAGTGTGACCCTGCAGCCACCCCACAGGTCACTGCTGTACAGTCCACAGCTACTGGATTCTCCCACCCCCTTAACAACACATTGCAACAAAATGAACTTACACAGGAAACGGATGGACATGGGTTTCCAGATAGGCTGGATCCTCTGCCTGACCTCACATAAATGGTGATGAGCCTTCCTCTTGAAATAAAATGGAAACAATCTTGAAATGCAGTGCAAACAATCAGCTCGGACACAAGGCTCTCCCTGGTGGTACTTCCATCATCTTCCTCATCATGTCACCTGAACCAGGTCATCTATCAACAAGAATGAGTGGCAAGAATAATGTTGGGAGGGAAGGTTCCCAGGGGTTGCAAGTGCCAAAGGAAAGTAACGACCTTTAATTATACCACTAATTACTTTAAGGGATCATGCACTTCTCCTTCAGCTCAGAGCACACAATAAACAAGGCCCTGGGACCGCAAAATACAGGTACTTAGGCAGAAAGCATATTACTGTGAAACAGATGTAAGCCCTGAGAGTTTACATTTCTTAACAGCCTTTAGGAACAAACAAAGCAGAAAGTAAAATTAAAGTGACTATGCTATAAATAAGGGATTTTAATAAATTTAGTCCCGTATTTTGCCAGTAATTAGCAACTATCAGTCACTGTATTGTAATGTTAAAAGAATTTTAAACCAGACTAAATAGTCACCTAGTAAATAAATGTGGGGGAGCAGCAGAGAAGTAGTAAATTTCCTGCACATAAAGTTGTATTATCTTAAAGGTTAGAGAAAGGGGTAAGGACAAAGAGGGAATCCAGAGTCATCAGCTCACCATGAATCTTCAGGCTAAGCACTTCATCTCCTTATGCCTCTTACCCTTAATCTACAAATGGGTATGTGGGGGAGTGTGGATCAGGATCCCACTGAAGTATTCCTTCAGAGCTAGTGAGGATTGTCCCTGGGGAAAATAAACTGCAGAACTAATTCCCTCCCTCTTCCATGTTTGCAAAAGCCAACACATGCCTAATGCACAGGACAAATTCGGAACAGGCCGCATTCAATTCAGGGGGGGCAATGATAGGCAACTTTGGATTTCACTAGGAAAAACAAAGATATACTAAGAACCACAGACAAAAGAACCAAAGTAGCATGTATCCTGTCTTAGAGCACAATGTCTTTCCTTCAAATCGACTAAGCTAAACAGATGGATATGCTTTGTCCTCCTAATTATCTGCAAACACGATATTCATAGCAATATTATATTGGTAACACAAGACCCTTCATTGCCTGACCAATTTGTTCATGGCATCAGGTTGCAAACACAGGGTATTCGGGGATGGAAAAGTAGTTATCTAGATGCTTAAGTGGCAAAGAAGCTAAGTAGAAGCACAAGGAAATGAGTAAATACATGTTCTAGCAAATCTCTGGCCTAGCCAGGTAGAAAGGAAAGTCCTAAAGAAAAAAAGCAGTATTACATAGGCATTTAGTTTAATTAGACAATTATAAAGCATCCACGATATACAAAAAACATCAGTCATCTTAAACATGGATTTAGTAGATCAGCTACTCACATTTCTGTTGCAAATGCAGAATTCAGAAGTTATGCTACACGCCAAGAAAAGGTAAGTCAATAATAAACCAGTTATTAGATTGAACTCCCTGACATCTGCCTGCCCAACTCTTCTGTTTCTGCCAAAACATGAACCCACATTAGGCAACATCATCTAAATCATTGTAAACAAAGACTGCTTAGAAGGAGTGTAGTCAGTAACAATACTATTAACCTGCACAAGTCATAACACAGAATGTACATGTTTAATGAAAGCATGTTGGCTCAAATCCCTGCTTTCTCTTTCAATATTGCACTTAATGTTTGCTGTCTTCTGGAGGATCTGAAGGATGAAAGCATCAAATGAGATGCAAGTGATACAAACTAAGATTAATTGTCTTTTTAGTTATTCTTCCTTAGGAGAATGCTATAAAATATCAGTGTGTGCCTATTAAGAAATAGCAAACATGATTAAAACAGGGATTTTGCCATCATAGCTTCTCTAGAGTAACAGCGTAAGTCTTACAGCCAAACTAAAAACATACTGTTAAATCCAACTGTTCCATTTGTGCTGAAATTCAAACCAGACTTATGTCCCATGGAAATATATATATGGGTACTGCTTAACCCAGTAAGACTTCAATTCTCATTGTAATCTTTGTATAAACTGCTACTGTAAATCCTGAACTTAAATATCTTAAGTAGTCTCATTTAACTTTTAATTTTAGGGTGTCAAACACAAGTCCAACATCTTGTAACACAATGCCAGTATTTAAGAAACAACTGAAATGAACTTAAATGAAGACCCAAATGCACATGATTTCCTCCCTCCTTCCATTTCAAAATCTAAGCTCTGGACTTGAACCTCAGCACTTGACAATGATCCTCTGTAAGTAAACACGTGAAAAGAGATCATCAGAGCTGTACGCCCCCACCTCAGAGAGGCACATCACTAAAACCTCCTAAATTACATAAATACAAGTGTGACAATGCAAAAAGTTGCCTCTTTTTTGCAAGACAATTGATCATAAAGTTCTTACAATTATTAAAATTCTCAGTTACCTGAGGTAATTTTAAGAATAATTCTAATTAACACGTTTCTTAAGTGTTTTGGTCAAAAGCTTAATTAAGCAATATTCTTGGATCAGCTAATCCAATGGAATGCAATACACAAACATTTATTTTCCCTCTCTTTAAGATTACTTTGAGGCTACTTCACGTGGGATCTTTTGGGGAAGTACTTGATTTTCTGTCCCTCACACAACAGTTGCATCTTCAGATGTTTAGTTCTCCCTTTCAGTTTTGGACATTAAGTAATCCAGCCTTGGATTGTGGTTACTAATGTCAGAAGTGCAACTACTACCTTCGGAAAGAACATGATTCTGCAGTGTCTGCCTCCTTCAGCATGGAAAGCCATTTACTACACAGATATATTGGTTTATAATTGGAGAATTATTTGAATATGAAGGTTATGAACTTATTTTTCCTGATATTATACCAGGAAGGGTCAACAAGAATGTTAAAAATGAGACTTAATTGCCTGGAGAAGGTGAGGTGAAGAAAGCACTTGTCTAGTATCATCACTTGACTCTTAACTCTAGAACAAAGTTTAATATCACAGAATGTAAAAAGAGTCAGTAATAAAATAACATACATTAAATATTCCTCTTACTTCTGCTAATAGGAACATACA